CTTGTTAATTCGCGATAACTTTACCTAAAGGAGGGTACAGGATGTCCCTGCGCCGGGCACGATAACACAGCGCTAGAGCGCGCTCTCTTCTTCAGCCATCCCCCTCTTAACTCGCTCGTGAGAGCCGGGACTTTAGTTCCAATCGGCTCTGACGATCACAAACGTGCATGCGGTAAATCAAGTGCAATTCCGCAAAATTAATCCTATGGATTTTTCAAGTTCATTTGATTTTAGATACAATGATTTTAGATGGTTTCAAAATATAAAACCTTTTTAGCACATAAAGAATTTAGAATACGCGCGAAGAATATAAGACAGAGAAAAGATTCAAAATCGGATATATAATGCTTGAAAACAAACATAGGTTCTGTTGAGTCTAATTACATTTTATGTATTATATATTACCTAAAAGAGGGTACAGGATAGCCTTGCGCCGGACAAAACAATACGATAGCGGACCCCGCTCCGGTCTCCATCAATACGCCCTTTACAACACCGGTTAACGCTGGCGCTTTACTTCCAACTGGCTCTAACAATTTATGCAATGATTGCTCAGCGAGTGGATATTTTTATCCATAGCGAATACTTGTTTTTATATAACCTTTCTGATGGAACAGGAGACCCCTTCATTGGCAAGAAACGGAGCGGAAAATTACAGCAAAAACGACGTACGAAGATGAAACGTGAAGCGAGGAAGAAGTAAATCGGCTTAATTCGTATAACCGTTTGCATTGCATTTAAATACATTGCGTTTCATAGAATATGCAAGAATTTTACCTAAAGGAAGGTACAGGATATCCCTGCGCGGGGCATGGCAATACAACACTGATTGCTGTCGCTTTTTCTAGCCACACACCTTTCACATCGCCCGTAAATGCCGGTGCTTTGCTGCCCATAGGCTCTAACGTATACAAAAAAAAAAACATGCGATGAACAATAGCAAAACCGCCATACGCTCCATAGAGACAGGGAACCCCTTTTCGACTAGCAGAATAATCGAAACCGATAAAATCAAGCCACGTGTGTTGAACCGCATCACTTTTAAAATAATCAATAAGATAATGGCTATAATAAGAAGTTTGAAATGAGTTTGATGTGTGAATGGATAGCACAATTAATTTAAATTAAAGCCAATAAGAATAAGAATTAAAAATGTATGTTAACCGTAATTGGAATGATTTATGAAAATGACTACATGCCGACAGAGGTTTACCTAAACGAAGGTACCGGATAGCCCTGCGCAGGGCAAAATTGCACAACACTGGAGGCAGCCTCACTTTCCATCCATCCGCCTTTCAAAATACCCGTCAACGTCGGCGCTTTGCTTCCGACCGGCTCTGACAATTTACAGATAGGGGCATGCTGTGAGAACCACGTGAATCTATTGCTTTATCTAACGCTTTGACGCTTGTGCATGTACCTATACGTTGGAACTGGGAACCCCTGCGCGGGACAAAACAGAGTCAGATCGTCTCCTCGAATACGATCGTACCAAGCCAGCTTTGCATCACTTGAAAACTTCGGCTTCTTCGTGGCGACTGGTTCTAATTACATGATGGAGAGTGAAATAAATCTTCTCGCACGACTGTATTGAACTTTTATCACGACAGATTTTAAAAGCGAAGAAATTCGAGTAACCACAAAGGGAATTAGCGTTAGTTACCAAGCCATTACTATTAATACCATCGTGAAGGTATTGAACTACAAAAATGCATGTTAAAGGCTGAAAAATCGGCAATAATACAGCAATCTGATACCTGGTCACAGGAACAGGATGCCCCTGCGCGTTACATGGCATGCTCACTTCCGACTCGCGTTTACGAACGAAGGAGAATGTTTTAACGTCCCCGATAAATGCGGGTGCTTTGCTCCCCATCGGCTCTAAACGAGGAAATAAAGGACATCGATGTCACGAAAGATATGTATGCTTTGTGTGGCTGAATACCCTCAGACAGGGTTCCCCTCGTCGAGTTTACTCACGCGATTATTTCGTCGATGTTACATAACGTTGTAGATGCGAGAGAAACAACAACCGAGTCTCTCTTCCGCTGTGAGCAATAATTAAACGTGGTATTGCAAATAGAGTAAAAATATGAAAGATATTTATATAGAAGAACTCTGTTGGTCCTTTAAATGTACTTTAAATGCGCTTTAAACATCTTTTAAGTAACTTCGAAACTTTTGTGTTGCTCGCAACAACTTGCTGAGTCGACAAGTTGTTGTGATCGTTTCGATATTATTCTTATTAAATGCTGTACCTAGACACGGGAGGAGGGTGGCCTTGGGCATTGCATGGAAGACTGACTTCTGCGCTCACTTTCCGTGCCAATAGAGATATCTTGGCCTCACCGGCAAAGGCGGGCGCCTTGCTTCCGACAGGTTCTAAAGGACATCGACTTGCCATTACATCGAATCCAATTTTCGCTCATGTACTTAAAGCGGGGACAGGGCTTCCCCTTGTCGATATTGAATTACAGCACGCAATTATTCTTTCAAGTTCCTTCTTTAATTAAAAAAAAAAAAAATAATACGTTTCTCGAGAAACATCATATTTTATCGTATTTCATCGTATTTCGTGATCATATTTAAATATCGTACTTTAAGAAATATCGTATCGTATCTTTCATGTAGAATACAACTTAGTTGCTTCTCTCCACCGGGGATAACAGTGATGCTGTCTTTTTCAATCGTCTTCCCTTGCAATCTTATCGATACCCAGTAATAATGGTAAATCTCGTACCTAGATACCGGAGCAGGATGGCCCTGAGCATTACACGGCAGACTAACGTCCATGTTCGCCCTTCGCACCAAGAGAGACAATTTTGCATCGCCCGCAAAAGCGGGTGCTTTGCTTCCAACAGGCTCTAAAGAACGTTAGTGCACTTAGGTTGTCTATTTCTCTCTCACACACACGCAGCGGGAACAGGGTCTCCCCCTCGAAAACGAAGCTCGACCCCAATGAATTAATATAATCGGCTTTGCCGTTTTCATATTTTAATCCATATCGAACGCTCTTCCTCTACGAAATCTTTATCCGCCTTTGTCGGGAGAGAAACTAAGATCTGTTACCTAGTGGTGGGCACAGGGCTTCCTTGAGCAGCACAGAAAATACTAATGGGTTGTCCTTCGTGTCTTCCAATTGTACGACTTAAATCATCCGACGTTAGCCTAGGCGATTTAACGCCTACCGGCTCTGCAATCGAGGAAAATTGGAATCACACGCAAGAATCTCTTATGCGAGATTACCTGACTGTTGGAACGGGATATCCCTGAGCGTTGCAAGCAAGCACCACGCCCGCACCCACGCGTCTAGTGTATGCGCTAAGAGTATTGTCGGTGGAGAAGATTGGTGATTTAAATCCAATTGGTTCTACAAGAAACAACGCAACCGAAACGATCAATCGTGCCGCATATGGCAAGTCGGGAACTTGTCAATAGCGATAAAGTGCCGAGATAGAATGATCGGTTGAATAATTAAATGGAAAAATATTCAACGAGTGAAAATCGATCATAAACTGATAATTCCACGTCGACTTCTGATCGCTTTAACGTGATAAATACATACGCAAAAGTATCTTCGCGTCTCACCTTGAAATTGGAACAGGGTAACCCTGCACGGGACACATCAGATTCGTTGCATCGCGCGACTTAGCCTCCATGAACTCAACCTTACGCACGCTCGGCAGTTTGGGTTTCGCGCTCGACGTGGGCTCTAAGAGGTACACGTGGACGACAAGCATTGTTAGGCACGAAAACTGGTACTGACCGTGTAATGGGGACAGGGAACCCTTGAGCGGGGCAAGTCATCGACACCGCAGTGGAGCTCGGCGTCGGTCTCACCACTTTTATGTCAGCGTTCGTGAACTTTGGTTTCGCGCTGGACACCGGTTCTATATTGCGAAAATGTTAGAACGTCACATGTGTCGATATCGTATGACACATTTCGAACGCTGGGACTAGGTATTCAGAAATAAAACCAGAGGCAAGACGAAGTAAAATATCGTAAAAATCGTTTTCAAACACTAAGTTTTCAAATACCAAGATATGTGGAAAGTATTTTCATATTTAAGGAAATGCCATATTTGAAAACTTTATCGACAAAATACTTTTTTCTGCAAAGTTTATGCCGTTGCTTATTAGTTTATTAATTGCAAAGAATTATAAATACTCTTATATAACGAAAGTACAAAAATTAATTGGAGCATTATTCAATATATGATAAAAACGACAAAAAATTTCCAAATTGATATCTCAAGCTGTCAATTAGCGTAAATGTTCACATTCTGGAGTTTGTACATATTAAACATATGTTTGTTTTGTTCAAAAAAATTTTAAAGAACATTACTGTATCTTTACAATTGAATTTGGAAGTTTAAAAATGTATGAAAAGTTTGCAAAAAGATTTTTGCATATATGCGTAGTTATATTTTCCGCTAAATATAGTAAAACAAAAACACGCATTTATATAAAATCCTATATGCACAAGAAATAGGATAGCATAATCGTATTAATGCTTATTTGACATAACGGTTTGACAATCTCTTCCACGTTATCGACACTTTTAAAATTCGTTATATACTTTGGTATTCTCTTCAATAAAAAAAAAATTGCATATAATAATATTTTGTGTGTAATATTATAAATTTTGAAATAACATGTTTCTTTAAAGAACTTTATGTAAAAACAATGTAGAAATAGTATTCTACATTGCAAATGTTTATGCTGGTTGAAATACAGTCCAGCTTTAAAGAATGGTGAAATATGATGGTCATACAATTTCTGAGTCGACAGAAACTCAAGAACAGGTCACGGTGCAAGAATTACTGGATCTGAATGCAATTTGAATAACAAGGATGTCATTAAGCTGGAAGGAAGAATCGATGGATACTCTTTAATATCCACTTTCCCTCGCGTTTGCTCATTCACTCCGCGACCGTATCCGTACACCAGCCAGTAACACATACAGATGCAATCTCTATACATTTGACTGTTTAATATACCTGTAATTCGGTACAGGAAATGCTTGAGCTGGACATGGCAAGGTCAGAGGTTGCTCACGTTGCACCGTGTATGTTGTGAGAGTACGAGAGTTTTCTGTCATTGGAAATTTCGGTTTCGTACTGGCAACCGGTTCTACAAAAGAAGAATCAGACTCGTGAAGGTCCAGTCTCTCGGTCAACAAATCAATCGCAACGCGTCGCGATTGCCGGACGATGATTCGCAACGCGCCGAGAACTTACAATAAGAAACCTAGAAATAATTAACCGTAGATTGACGGCAATTTCCGTAGACTCCACAAACTTATTTTCTTTTCCTTAATGTTCAAGAAACCCTACACCGCGGGACAGGGTAACTCCATGCTACGGCGATTAGATGCGTTATATCGACTGTCTGCCGCTCGGCAACCGTCGTGAAACACAGGGGAGGATAATCACCTGCCATGACGTGTCCTCGATGATTTCACCCAGCGTCGTAATCAAAGACCACCCCCGAAACAGTTGGCGAGAATGGCGCTGACGACTATTGAGTTAAGGAGCAATTTACCTGAATGCCGGCACGGGGAACCCTTGAACGGGGCACAGTAGAGTCGCAATGGAGCCCAATACCGTGCTCGGATTCGTCGATTTCACGTCCAACGCCGTTAATTTCGGCTTCGAGCTCGACAACGGTTCTACGTCACAGCAGAAATACACACGAGCAAATACCGAAGGATATCGACCCGAGCGCTTTAGGCGAGAACTTACTTGAAGACTGGGACGGGATACGCCTGGGCGGGACATTGCAATGTCAGACCTTGAGCTTCCGCGATCTCGAAAGTGCGGCTTTTATCGATAGTCGAGAACTTGGGTTTCGCAAAGCCGACCGGTTCTACAAATTAAACTTGCAGTCAAGAGCGAAATCGATGCGTCGAACCCCTCTAATTAATATCGAGCTATTTAAGTACTTTAAATTAAAGAGTCAGACTTGTGTCAAACTTCCTCTCCATTAGGGATGCAAATTACGGTAAAACCAATGTCGTACATAAAAATATTTCATAAAACACAAGAAATTAAATCATATAATATGATAATATGATACCTTTACTGCAAGTTTTTTAAATTGTGAAAACATTTTATCATCAATTATCATCAATCACATTTATCGTCAATTATTTGATTTTAAAATTGAGGTTAATCACAGACGCATTCTGCGCAGAAAAAACCGATACTGGGACAGAGTAGCATCCTCGGGGAGAAGAAACCCTCGGATATTCCTTATCGCATCCTGCTTAAACCACAACAACAATGGGAGATCGATTAATACATCGACCTACCTATACATGGCGAGCGGAAATGCTTGAGCCGGGCATAGCAACGTAAAGCCCGTATCTTTTGTAACGCGCAGCCCAACGTCGTTTACAGATGGAAACTGAGGCTTGGTGCTCGACGCGGGTTCTAAAAACAGAACGCTAGACAGTCCGATATGCACAAAGCCAACGGCGCCGAGTTATTTTAAATATGCTGGAATAGGGTTTGCCCCCTTCGCCAAGATCGATGGACGTTTTTGCGTTGATAACGAGTCGAAAATCCCGTTCGATGTGACATATTATAGGAGCAAACGGATATCGATATTGTGACGGTTCGTAATTGCGAGCTATAAAAATCGGAGATGCTAAATGTATATGCTTAGTCGAGAAAATAATGTTTCCTCGAAATATTATGTTTAATAGAGGCGCGACAAATAGACGGCCCATTTCACAGTTCCCTCAGGGAATACTTGATCATGTGCTGACGCCTACCTATAGAGAGGAACTGGAAATCCTTGAGCAGGACAAAGGAGGGTAACACTTCTTTGCGAAGAGACACTAAATCGCTGAAGATCACTCGAGCCAGACAATTGAGGGCGTGTGCTGGATGCTGGTTCTGGTTGAATAGGAAACATAATCTTTTACACGCGAGAAGCAAGAATTCTTTACCTGTACGATGGAACGGGGAACCCTTGAGCAGGACACAGTAACGTCATCGCACCGCCGAGATACATTTTGAATGTCTGCGAGTCCGCCAATGAGGGAAATTTCGGACGAGCGCTTGCGACTGGTTCTACGAAAGTTCGAAGATACCAGAGAGACGTCGATGAAAATGACATTTGCTTCGAGAGATGTTTGTTTTTTATATTAATTATATAAACATATTATATGGACTCTCTCTCTCTAAATTAGCGCGATAAAAGATGATAAGTTTCTACATATATTGGCAATAAACACTACCAATATACTAAAGCAATTTTGATTCACATCTATTTTATGCCCTTCAAATTTTTATGAGAAAATATTTATTTAATATTTATTTTTCTATATAGGCCTTAGTTTACCCACCAAAGGGCGCCAAAGCTAGAAGAAATGTTTCTTTATAATTTATATTGAGAAATAGCTATATAAGATTCAAAATATATATATTTTTATATCAATTATATATATATATATAGTTTATAGTTCATGAGGTAGAAGGCGTCAATTAGTTATATGTACATGTGTAAATATATATTGATAGATCATTTTGCATTACCAAAGGTGCACTACCAAGAAGTGAATCTACTCTCAACGAGATATTTTGTATGTTTATTGAATTATTGTTTAATATACATTATAAGAGAATGTTTTTTATAACTTTGGCTTCCTAACTTGATGGGGGCAAACTAAGGTTTATACAAAAAAATAAATATTACCATGTTTTTCTCATAAAAAACTGAAGGGAATAAGACATTCATTCATTGTAAGGTCAAATAATAAATGGTAGTGATAATTATTAAAATTCCTGTATCCCCACCACGGCCGTCCTGATTAATGATGTCAGAAATCCCTTGTGTCCCCAATATGTACTCAAAATTCTTGTAAAATAAAAGAAGATGTCCATAAAGTGAAATTTCAGATCGATTGAGCATATTTTTAAAATATTCCGAAAATTAATGAAACTAACGTAACAAGAACCTGATAGTCCAACAAATTTTTCACCATCCTCCCCCTGACAATCACCCTTCACCTCCCTACTTTCTCTCCCCTCCCCTATGTTAATCACTATATAAAGGAAGACCTCTCAGAAGCAACTCGGCATCGGGTCGTTCCTCCCTGATGAAACGGACTGAAATGTTTGCGAAACGTCAGAATCAGAAGAATCTACGCGGCTCAAATACGGAAACCAAATTTAATACTAGCGTGACAAAATCATGAGAAAATGTAGGTTAAAAAGAAAAATTATATATCATCATTAATTTTATTCACTGTTATTTTTTAACTGTTAGAAGCAAGTTTCTGGAGTATTTTTACAAATGTGCTCAATCAATCCCAAGTGCCACTTTATGAATATATCCTTGTATTTAAGTTACCTTCTCTCTCTCTCTCTCTCTCTCTCTCTCTCCCCTCCCTCTCTCTTTCGCTTCTGACTTTATTAATCAAGAATCCCGTGACGAAGGATTAGGAGTTTCAAAGATATGGTTATAATTTTTAAAAAGCTACAACATACGCTTAAGACGTAATTGATTTATGCACTACTGTCTATATATACAGATTTAATAGACGTATGATAATCGAGTGTATTCCAAAAATTAATTTACGCATTGAATTTAACAAAAATCAGGGGAAAGAGAGAAAGAACGACGCGTGTACGTATAATCCGTCCGCAATTTCCTTCTTCGTCTTTTCCCCGTTATTCCGCATTGCGGTCGTACATACACCGGCCGGAATATGATCGTTCTATAGCGCGCATTCACTTTCTTATGACATGGGCGTTTTGTGTACCTGAAAGCTGGAACGGGGAAGGCCTGTGCCGGACACATGAGAGTCAGCGAGCGATCGCAGTGAACTGTGTACGTACGCGAGTTCTCTGTCATCGGAAATTTCGGTTTTGTGGTGGCGACTGGTTCTACAAGCGAAAGAAAGCACGAGCGTACAGCGCGAACAGAATAGCGAATTACGACAGTAGTACGTCATCTTGAGTCAATGAAATCATGTTGTTCGCTATAATTTCTATTCCTTCTTGCTGAGACAGGGTACGTTAATATTGTACTATATAATTATCTTGAGATAAATTATTGTCAAAATTGTCAAACTGTAACCAAACAATGTTGACAGAAAATTACATTAATTGAAAATTTGCTCTTTGACGAGAGAAATAAATTTGAAAATTTATATTTTAAATTTAATTATTATATCCTCGCGCGTGCTCGTGTTTTCCCTCTCGCTCCCGCGTGCATCACGATTTTGTTCATCATTCTTAAAGTCTAAATATACTGCGATATAACCTTGTCCCACCTATGCGACGGAACGGGAAACCCTTGAGCAGGGCAGAGTAGGGTCAAAGTGTCTTCCTGATTCGAGATAAATCCGCGTGAATTATCCATTGTTGGAAACTTTGGACGTACGCTCCCCACGGGTTCTACAAAAAGACGAAGCGTGGAAGGAGATGTGTCAGAAACGCTGACAACATCGTAATGATCCACTTATGCATGCCGGGGGACAGGGAACCCTTTGAATTACATTGATGTGCTTAAAACGGAGTAACCGGCACAATATATTAGTTATATCCAGCCTCTAATTATCAAGACTTTTATGCGTGTTTTCAAACTACACTTCAAAAATTGTTAAATATTAGAGCAAACATTATCATAAGAAATTTACTTTTCTTCAAGAATGCATACAATTCAACAGTATATCATAGTCTGTGTTTGTTTATCGCCATGAATTAAGAGGGTAAATAACATTCTCAGGTCATAAAGAACAACAATATTTGGGATATTTTCATTTAAAAAAGACTATGTAAATATGTTTGAATTATATATATATATATATATATATATATATATATATATATATATAATAAAGTAATATATTTGTATTTAAAAAGTAATTTATAATTAAGTTTTTTGCAGAAATGAGAGAGAGACATGTCTAAGTATTTATCGCCTGGAGCTTTTGCACTTTGCACTTTGTTTTATATAATTGATATTTATACAATAATACAATTTAAAAAATTTATTATAAAATATATTGTGTATATAAAATACTGTTATAGTTATAAGCTCTAGGGTCAAAATTCTGATTTTCGAACAATTTAATTTTTTTGTTTATTTAAAAAAAATTAAAAATTTTTATTTAAATT